TAGTTCAGGTACCAACATATGAAAAAATCAGCTCAATCGGTTCAGCCGTTCGGGAGATATAGGACTTAGAAGTTTTGACCGACTGCACGGGTACAGTAGCCAAAAACAGTTCCATGAATGCTGGCCCTGCAGTCGGTCTACGAACATGGGTAAAAACTCCAGAACGGCCGGCCATCCGTATACCATCCTGGGTTCGCTGAAATCCCCATCTGCTGTTAATCCTTTCTACCGAACGCCCGGTCGTTCGGTAGATTTGGTGATACTTTCCCGAAGGTATGGAGGTCTCAGCGGTGTTCGCCTGTTTGAGTGTCCGATTTTAGTTCCAGACATTCATCGGCAAACACCGCTGTTCGGGAGTTAAAATGGCCGCGAACACGTGTAAGTCCCGAAATGGCGACTGAGCTGACAGTTCCCATAGCGTTCGTGCGGTTGATTCGAATAAAGTGCCCATCAACCAGGGAGGTAAATTGGCCATAATTAACAGTCAGGGTGGCCTGTTAAAGCAGGTAAGCATTCGCATGGGGAATGCTTACAAAAATCTCGAACGGCTGTATAATCCATTTGTCTTTTGCAGGCATACTGGACTTGTTGTTACAATATCATTACAGCCGCACACCTTCCACAGCTGCTGGTTAAGCACAGCGGTGAACTGAGTTCCCTGGTCGGAGAGGATCTCCTGAGGGAACCCGACCCTAGTGAAAATTTTAACCAGGGCATTAGCAACAGTCTCTGCCTCTATATTCAACAGCGCTACTGCCTCTGGATAACGTGTGGCATAGTCCATATACTTCTTACCGGATGGACTAGCCCTGGCCAGTGGACCCACAATGTCAACGGCTATGCGGGAAAAAGGTTCTCCAATGATAGGCATCAATTGGAACCTAGCCTTTGGGTGATCCCCCGTTTACCTACCCGTTGACACGTGTCACACATGCTACAATAAACCCGCACAATCTCGGTTAAAATTAGGCCAGAAAAAGTTTTGGGTGATTCTATGAGCTGTGCGGCAGGAGCCTAGATGGCCCGCTAATGGCACATCATGCCCAATCCGCATAATCTCTTGCCGGTATTTTGCAGGCACCACTAGCTGTCGATTCTGAGGAGGGGCACTCAGTTTCTGGGACGGTTTAGGGATCCTGTACAGCCTGTCCCCCATCCACTCGTAATGCTCCCCATCCACCCCTTCTCCCCCAGAATCGGCCCTGGCTCTGTACTTCGCTAAAGTCGGGTCTTCCCTGGTTTCCTTCCTGTACATCTCTGGGGTATCCCAGCCTAAAGGGGCCTGGTCTAAGGTACAAGTCGGGGTAGAGAGTCTTACCTAGGTCTCAGCAGCAGGTTGGCCGGTCTCGGCGGCACGGGTCTGAGCACGGGTCGTGACAGCGTCCACTTCAGCGGGACCCATGGGAGCAAAGGCTGAAAAAAGGGGTGCTAAGTCATTGCCAAGAAGGACATCTGCTGGTAAGTCCTTCATGATCCCCACATTCACGTGTCTAGCGCCCACTCCCCAGTCCAAATGTACCCGGGCAACGGGTAGGCGAAACATGGCACCTCCGGCTACTCGCACTGCTACCGTGTCTCCAGTATGTTGGGCCTCGGACACCAGGTGCTTCTGAAGTAATGTCATGGTTGCACCGGTATCCCGTAGACCACTGACCTACTTCCCATTGACCTTGACACATTGCCAGTGGTGCTGTCTGTTATCCCGGTGAGCAGTTTGGACCGGATCTGCTTCATGCAGGATGCCCCAGCATTCCTCTTCCTCTACACAGTGAGCAGCCGGGAGAGGTGGTCGTGGACTGCCGCCCGCTTGTTTCCTCCAGGACTGGGTCCGGTTAGCACTGTTCATCGGGCACTCCGGTCGCTTGTGCCCTAGCTGCTTGCATAAAAAGCACCTAATGGGTTGAGAGTAGTCCCGGGAGTTGAACCAGGGTGTCTGCTGATAATGATTAGACGGAGGGGGTGCTGACGGCCTGTTCATCGGGGGCTGGTAGACGGCAGCTGCTGGCGGTGATGCTGGCCGGTACTCCACTCTGGCAGGAGCCTTCCCAATAGCACTGTCCAGTTTACGGGCATTCGTGTATTCGTCCGCCAGGCGAGCAGCTTCATGCAGAGTGGAGGGTTTACGGTCCCTTACCCACTCTCCGACGCCCGGGGATAATTTGTCAAAGCAGTGCTCCAACAGGAACATTTGCAGCACCTCTTCTCCGGACACAGCCTGGCACCCCGCCATCCAGTGGGCAGCTGTGCGGTGTACTTTGCATGCCCATTCAACATAAGAGTCCACAGCTGATTTAATAGAGTATCTGAACTGCTTCCTGTATGCCTCCGGTGTAACGGCATACCTGGAGAGCAAAGCTTCCTTGACGGCTCCATAATCCCCGATCTCCTCATCAGGAATGGTCCGAAACTCATCACTGGCCCGGCTGGATAATTTGCCTGACAATATAGTGACCCAGTCTTCTAGGGGTACCTTGCCACTCAAAATCAGCAATCTCTCCTTCTGCCTCCTTCTGCCTCCACAAAAGGTTTAAACACGGCACTTTCTTTCTTTCCCCCGGGTTTGCTGTGACTGGGGCTGCTGCAGCACCGCTCTGGCATAGCAGGTTGGCCTCCACAGCTGCCATGACCCGGTCAATGGTCTCTATAGTCGGGTTGGGACCATAATGGGCCAGCCTGATTCTTACCACCCGGTCAAAGCTTGCCTCCTAGGGGGTTCTGTCAGCTGTGCTGGGTCCATTGGTTCCCTCTGCCTCTGGTACTCCATTCATTTCCAACAATAGTGCAATAATTTCCCTCTTCCTGAGGTTACTGGCTTGTCCGCCTCTTTGTTCTAATAAATCTTTCAGGGTAGCTCTTTTCAGTCTTTGGTATTGTACATCCATTTAATCCTGGTTGTAGTGGTCTCTCTGGGCGCTGAGGGTCATCCTGTCGCTTGCCACCAGTTGTTACGGTACCTTCAGCATGAAATGTACAAACTGCCGTTTAGTGAATGCTCCCCGTTCGCAATAACGTAGGCTGTATGCGTATCCAATACAATCCTGCGAACCGCAAGTAAGGGAACACTCCAAACTCCCGAATGGTATCCGTTCGGTCACTTCCCTCCACGAGCTTCAAGCTTACGAACCATCAATATCAGCTGAACGCCGGTATCTCCCAAGCGGCTAATAATTCCAAATAGCAGTCTCTAGTCACCGGTAATAAAATCCCCCCAATAACGAGACCAAGCTCCGCATTGAGGGTAAAACACGAACTGAGTTTACTGTGGGCTACCCACCCGTATTTATGCAGGTCTCCCACTTGGTGGACACTCCCTCTAAGGGACCAAATGGGAGACTGGAATAGCAGATGGACATATGGCATCTCAGGACATACAGTCACACAATATTCCCAGCATATATCACAGTTTCTTCCCCTCTGCCCGGGAGATAATTGAGAAGTAATTCAATTATCTCCCAGAGCAGAGGCAAATCGCCATTTTAAATGCAAATCATAAAACACATAAAAATACATAACTTCATAACTGCCGAACATCTCTCATTCGTGCACATCCCCAGATATCCTGGATCTGAGTGCATATTATTGGCGAATAGCACTCAGATCCCATATGCATAGTTCAATCGCCATGGAGTCAAAGTCTATTACAGTTCTTCGGTATGCGATTGACTCCATGGGAAGGCTATCTGGGGTAAGTCCATTCATGCCTTTAAATCTCCCAAACGGCCGGTGTTCGCACACTTCTGTCGATTGAGAATGGAGGTTGACGGCATCAGCGGGGTTCGGTAGAAAAAGTGTCCGTTTTCAGTTCCATGAATTTAGTACCGAACACCGCTGGTCTTTCGCATGGTTTAAAATGGCCGCCGCCTCGTGGTCGACATACGAACGATGACCACCCTGTATTCGGTTTTAATTGAGAAGTGTCTGTGGTTAACCGCAACTTTCTAATTGGGATGAATAGGATAACCAGCAGCACACTTCTCTTCTGGGTGGCCGTCCGTTCGACAATTTTGTTCGGTAAAAAAAAGTCAATTCACTTAGATCCAGGCATAAGAATGGGTGAGTTCATGAAAGAAGCAAACAGACAAATCTAGCAATCTTAGTCCATACGAATGGGCCTGTCACAATTATTGTTATTGAAAAATGTATCAATAAAAATATTTGAAAAGAAAAAGCTAACCTGCATGTGCAAGATAAAATTGATGGCAGGAGAGCGGATACTAGGACCCACTCCCCATTGTTAATATTACAGCCCCCAATTGCCAGCATTGTGTGACACTCTCCCCAGTGAGTTGAATACCTAAAGTGTATTTATATAATTCCTGTCTATCTATTGTTCAGATAAATCACAAGGTGATACTCAGAATGCTACGCTGTACAAGTTCATATATTAGTGTATTTGTATATAACTCTTTTTTTGCACACCATTTATTTCTAACTAAAGGGCACAAGCTTAACCCTGTTTTAGTTGCTATATTTAACTTGTACACCGTGTATTTACTTTGCATTGTATTATTGTTTGCACATAAAAGATTTATTTTTTGCATGCTAGTTTGCAGCTTAACCCCTTGAGGACCAAACGTCTGGAATAAAAGGGAATCATGACATGTCACACATCTCATGTGTCCTTAAGGGGTTAAAGAGATATTTCACCTAAGTCAAACCACTGTTTTGAACATTGGTTTTATATTTTAAGCACCTTACTTAGTCACTTCTGATTAATATATTTGTATGGGTAAAGTATCTACCACTCCCTTAACAAATAACATAGAATTTGTAACGGCTACCCCAGTTGGAGAGGGGAATCAGCCGTTGGAGACGTCCTTCTTCCCAGCAAGCTGCTATGTAGTAGTGGAGTTGCTTTATCCCATCCGCTTGATCCAAGTAGAGAGCAGGGCAGAGCTCTTAAAAGAGCTAGTGATTATGCTGAGCAGGTTCCCTTTCAATAACGAGACAAGGCTACGTTTTGAAGGGTCAAGAAGAACTGAGGTTTAATGACAAGTACTCTCCTTTTATGCAGTGCTCCCATGCAAGGGAGACACCCACAGGCAATTATACAGTGACCAATCAAAGAATGGTTACAACCCACAAAGTCCCTCTCCTCTGCTTGGGAGATAATTGAGTTTCTAACTGTATCTACTCAATTATCTCCAAGCTAAAAAAATTATACTTTTTATACATTCTCATAACTTTCTTATTTTAAATGGTACATGAATTTATGAACAGTACAACTTGGGGAACAATATATTAAAAATTTGTGTAAATCCGTTCAGTGGTTTGGGAGATAGTAAAAAGTCCCTTGAACCGACCGCACGCCTCTGAGTATGCCCAAAATCAGTTCTACAGATTCAGGTTGTGCGGTCGGTCTATCTTTCGTTCGACAAAACTCCCTATTTGCACGAACAGATTCGTGCTTAGACTCATTGAATACATCTAGTTCGGGAGTTTATTTTACCGAAAGAGCACTCTGTTCTGATGGATTTAGCCGAACGCGCGGAGGATGAAAGTTTCAGCTGTGTTCGCGTAAAAGTCTAGCCGAAATGAGTTCCACGCGGTCGACGACCAAACACCGCCGACCATCCAGTCTATCAATTAAACCCATGGAGGGTTTGTGGTTTTCACGGTGTTCTTACAGTCAGGGAGATAAATGAGTGGCACACTTCTGTTCTGGGTGGTCGGCCGTTCAGTACAAAATTCGGTATTCGAACGTTCTTATATTGTATCTCTATTACATAAAAGCCATTATACGAACAGTCTTTGTCTATTAAGTGCGGGATAAAGTGAGGAAGGGCAAGAAAATGGTGAAGGTTCCCAGGCACATTGTAGGGATATGTTACATGATTATTTGGTTGTATATAGCCACATCTCCAAGCAATATAACCAATACTGAACATTAGTGATATCCCGAACGGTTCGCCACGGACGGCGAACATATGCACTGTTCGGTCCGCCCCCTATGTCATCATTGAGTAAACTATGACCCTGTACCTCACAGTCAGCAGACACATTCCAGCCAATCAGCAGCAGACCCTCCCTCCCAGACCCTCCCACCTCCTGGACAGCATCCATTTTACATTCATTGTGAAGCTGCATTCTTAGTGAGCTGTCCAGGGGGTGGGAGGGTCTGGGAGGGAGGGTCTGCTGCTGATTGGCTGGAATGTGTCTGCTGACTGTGAGGTACAGGGTCAAAGTTTACTAAATGATGACGAATAGGGGGCGGACCGAACAGCGCATATGTTCTCTGTCTGCAGTGAACCGTTCGGGACATCACTACTGAACATATGTCTCTGACAATGAACCATTGTCATTGGCATTTACGTCACCAAACTTTATTTAAGTGCAAGAGAAAAAAAAAGTGACAGTTCCTTGTCTACAAAAATAAGGAAGAAAAATTCCCAGCATTCTGAATGTAAATGTAACTGATATTTATTTAGACTTTGATTGCAAGTGACACAATTTCAAAGTCATGTGGGTGTAAAAAAGTTATCACTTATCTTTAAAGATAGAATGAACCGAATTAAAATTAATTGAATGCTGAGGATGTATTTCTTCTCCTTGATACAGTGATGTTTGATCAGCTTTCAAATAAAGCTAAATTTCAACACCATTTTTTTTTCCAGGGGTAGAAATGTAGCAATTTTTTTTTGTTGGTATCAATAGCCGGCTCGGTAAGTGCTTGCCTGCTCAATTCATTTATTGTCGCAACACATAGGCCTTTACATGTTTATCAAATTTTGAACAATTATGTTTAAAATGGCCCTGTGTGCCTGCAAGGACTATCCTTAGCCATTTAATGCAGTGTCTTGAATGTACAGATGTTTGTTTGTCTTCTGGCCATTTGCAACCAATTCCACTTGACTCCTATTTTATATTCCTCAATCTTTCTAAATAACATGCATAAATGAAGCAACACCAAGTCTGTGTGCTCCAGTCATTATTTCAAGCTATTGTATCTTCTTCTCAAGCCACCAGACACATTTCTATTAATTCATTTAGATTATGCTTTTTCCCCCCTATTACAACCTTTATTAGCATTTTGTACAATGACCCTTACTCTTTACTCAAACTACATGTTGAATCAGTGTTCTGCCTACAATATCAATTTCACTACTAATGAACCTGATGTCCTCAACTTTTGATACACAGACACAAGTTAAAATGAGCAAAATAAGACAATGTATAATTAGTTTGCAATTTATTATGTGATAGAAAATATACAAGAAATGTATACAATGTGAAGATTATTTAAGTAGAAAGGGATAGGTAAAATAAATAAATGCACCTCATAGATAAACATTTAAAACATTCCAAATTTTTGTAAAGAATCATGTCCAGCTTGACATACTTACTGAGACAGGACAAAGCCCAGCACTGTTTAAGTCTTTAGTAAATTAAGCAATGATAATTATTAAGCTGAATTAAGATAGCTAATATACAAAAGAATTTAAATAGTGGAAACGTGACACAGCCTGTATTCTTTAGAGGGTCTGTAAGAATGTTACATGAAGCTAACAAACATTAGAGACATGAGAAGTAAACAAAGAGTCCAGGGCATGGAAAATCCTGCAAAAATAAAAAGAAAGTTGGTTTAATTTTGATGTAATATTAGATTTGTAAAATCAAATTCAATGTAATATATAAATATGTTAAGCATGTGGACATGGTCTATACAACAGTAAGACTTACAAAGTTCACTAATAATATAAAGGTAACACTTTGATGATTTTTCTCATCTCCTGTTAGAACCCAAGGATGATATACATATTTCTTACAAAACCAATATATGCCAAATAGAAGGTATGCTAATGAAGTCAAATCAATGAAAAGTTGGGAGGTGGACAATGAACCTTCAATTTACATCTAGTGAATAGAGTAAAATACAATAAACAATGATGGAACATGGAAGGTTTTATAGCGAGCCATTACATGTTGCAAACTGAAGGCATATGATCATGTAGTAAGCACTGGTACAATACAATTATTGAAATAGTTGAGAACAACCTGTAAGCTTTCTCCACCTTTACCTGTATGTGTTTCATGTAAGTGAATTAAGAATTGTACACAACGCACAGCGATACATGTGCATGTTTCTATATCTACAGTAATTTTACATTATCAGGATCAAGGAACCAGTACAGTTAATATATATATATATATATATATATATATATATATTTATAATTTGTAATTAACAACTATTATAAAGAGAGGTATAACTTATTTGCTTACTGTCAAGAGCGCCTGATGAATCGCCAGTTGCATCTGTAAAACAAGCCGTTTTGTGTAAGTTTATAAATGTAAACTCTATTACAAATATTTATTAAGCATCACATTTCAGTATTTATTAACCTGTATGTATTTTAATCTACCAATATACAAAATCTGCACAATGAACTAACATATAGAAAGCTTAAAGGACCACTATAGGCACCCAGACCACTTCAGCTTAATGAAGTGGCCTGGGTGCCAGGTCCAGCTAGGGTTAACCCCTTTTTTTTTTTTTTATAAACATAGCAGTTTCAGAGAAACTGCTATATTTATAATAGGGTTAATCCAGCCTCCAGTGACTGTCTCTTGACAGCCGCTAGAGGCGCTTGCGTGCTTCTCACTGTGAAAATCACAGTGAGAAGACACCAGCGTCCATAGGAAAGCATTATGAATGCTTTCCTATGGACTGGCTGCGCGCGCGGCTCCTGCCGCGCATGCGCATTCAGCCAAAGAGGAGGAGAAGAGCTCCCTGCCCGGTGCTGGAAAAAAAGGTAAGATTTAACCCTATCCTCTCGATCCAGCCCGGCGGGAGGGGGACCCTGAGGGTGGGGGCACCCTCAGGGCTCTAAGTGCCAGGAAAACGAGTATGTTTTCCTGGCACTATAGTGGTCCTTTAAGCTTTGCATGTTAAACATAGGACTATAATGTAAACATATGTATGGTTTTCTCTTTTTTTAAATCTGCTATTGATGTGAGAGATGCCCCATGTCTTTGATCTTTTTGTTAATTCAAATTTCACATAATTTATTTTTACTCATTACTTCAAAACAGTCTTTTACTGACGAGTGATTTAATACATTTCACTGCATAGCTTGAAGTATTTAGTAACATGTTCTTTCTGAAGTAATGTCCAGGTTAGTGACATGACAACCATCGAACATATGCAGCCATTAGTAGGTTCACAAAGGTTTTTGTAGCGTTTCTAATCTTTCAGAGTAATTCACCAAGGGATTGGAAGTTTAAGGCCTAAAAACACACCTCCAGTGCTTGTCTTCCAGTCAGCGCCTAGAGGCCCTTCTGCTGCCCTGGCTGAGTAAAACTCTGTCACGTGATGAGACAGCTCTTAGAAAGCATTGCCAGCACATGCTCTATGATGAGCATTGGATTGGCCATCGGCTCTAGACCTGTATGATGATGTGGGAAGCAGAGGGGTTGGCAGTACCCTAGGAATTTGTAATTACATGATTACCGGGTGAATGCCAGCAATTCATGGTTTAGTGAATAACCTATGATATGTTCCATCTAAACAGTTTGTAGACAATCAATTTCTCTGAGGTCCAGTTTGTGATAAACATGTCTGGTCAACAATCACTGCAACTTTCAGGAAGTCTGTGTTAAAAGTGTTTGGGATCACTGTATCATTTTAACTGTTTCTAGTGTTAAATGCAAACAGTCAACCTCTATGATAACCATATCATCAATGTTACTTACCCTGTGCATTTAATGTCAACGTAACTTCTGCACTATTCTGCGATCCAGCTGGAGAATCAGCTCTGACATTACAGGTCTGTAATAAAAAAAAATATATAAAAAAAATATATAAATAGTATGCATATGTGTGCATGAATGTGTGAAGATTCCATAAGTAACAACATGGTAACAATGCCAAGATCACGATTAAAGCAACATTAGAGAGAACGATATATACATTTACAGACAAATTTATAAATAGCGTGCATATGTGATCCGTCTCTCTCTTTTATCCTCAAATGAAGTATAGCTTTTAGTGTCTTACTATACAGTTTTGGAGATATTTTAAATATATTTTTAGAAATTATATGGGGATTCATATATATCATAGCAAGACTGGAGCAGTTTTAGGGTTAAATGCTGAAGTTTGGTAAGCTTTCTGATGTAATTGATTAAACTTATGGACTTTATACCAATATGGTGGGTAATGTGACCTTCCTAATTTGATACATTACTACACGCACCAAGGCTCAACCTATGTATAAACTTTATATAGTAAAATTAATTTTGTGTATATTTGGTATAAATTATTCATGCAACTATTACTCTACGTCATACAAAGTTTTATTGGATTTGTTATGTTATAAATAATAAAGTAAATAATTTTAACACTGTGGGTAAAATCTTACCGGAACACAGGTGGCATTACAGATTTTTACTACTGCACGAAGACTGACAGTGGTCGAGCCAGTAATTTGAAAGGCTTTCATAATGACACGTGCTTCAGTACCATTTCCATTATTTACCACTGACATTAGACCACTAGTAAGACCTCCAGCTGGGCATCTAGAAACAGTAAATAGTTAATTTTAATACTACCGAGCCAATTGTCCCACCAAGAAAACCATACCTAGCTTTACCCACACTTAAAAGAATGTGTATGAGTTTGTGTAACTGACCCTTATGTCACAACCATTCAAATACATTTTATGCAAGTAAAGAAATAAAGGGTCAGTACTGTTTATTTGGGGATCATGAGGAGCCCTGCATGTTTGTCAACACCCTCATTGCTGCACATGTTGTAGCAACAGAAGAAATAAATGGACATGACGTTACAAAGTTGAAAGATCCCAGATTAACGAAAGTAAAAACAAACATAAACATAGTTGCAAACAAATTGTGTATGATTAAACATTGGGCTTCTCAAAGGGCACCAATTCTGGAAAACGGAAACATTTAAAGAAACACTGTAAGCACCAAAACCACTATATCTTAATGTAGTGATTTTGGTGCATAGACACTGTCCCTTTTCTCTCACAAATGTAAGCCATTTCTGACAAACAAAAATATTTACATTTGTCAGGAAACACATGTCTAGCAGCTGTCAGAGAGACAGTCATTAGTGGCACTTCCTCCTTTAAAATCAATCATGATAATTCTATATGCTGTTAATGTATATCATATGGAAGTCCCAAATGTAATGCTTATCCATGAATCTCATCTGATTGGCAGAGTGTGTTGAGAAGCAATGTAATCTTGGTGACCTCACCAAAGGTGAATTGGTTGCTCCAAGGAGTCTGTGCTGGATTACAGGTTTTAAGAAACTTTTTAATTTATTTATTTAAAACGAAGGGAGGATAATATTAATTTAAAAAGCATGTTTGCTTAATTTGGTTAAAGAAATATGAGATTGTTTGTGTAAGTGCTATGGATTCTGGTATAGTCTAACCATGCCATTAACAGGTGATACATTATACTTCTGATACATACCCATTGGAAAGAAGCTCATATGATGTGGTGTTACTGTTATCTGGATATGCATATATACTGTCCACTATGAGTGAAAATGCATTGCCATCCAAGTCAGGTATGTTCACTGAAATATATACATTGTCTTCCACATACAGTGCATATTCCTCTGTTAATGGTGATGTAAAATCATCCTTTACAAAGGCCAGCATGTTTACTGTGTACACAGCATTTACCTCAGGGACAGTTATCTGTGTGGACCTAAAAACAAAAAAAAGGAAATACATGCATTATATACTCTCTGCTCAAAATATGTTTGCTAAATTTGAATGAACATTAGATAAACTTTTGTGACAGTATTAATGATGCTGCTTTTATTATCTTGTAACTGTGTTTAACCCCTTCAGGATGGAGGCTTTGTAAGTGCCCCACACACATTATATACTGGTTTTAAAGGACAAAAAGTACTTTTTCAAATTTAATATCCTATATGTATACCTAAAACAATGTTAAAGGAACACTATAGGGTCAGCAACACAAACATGTATTCCTGACCCTATAGGGTTAAAATCACCATCTAGCCACCCTGAGCCCCTCATGCCTCCCTAAATATAGAAATCTTATTGTATTCAAGTCTGGAGCTGCTGGCTCCGTTCCGGTTTCCTTTAGACCTGCCCACCACTGCCTGCTGACATCAGCAGAAGTGGCAGCCCGATCCAATTACAATGCTTCCCCATAGGATTGGCTGAGACTTACAAAGAGGCAGATCAGGGGCAGAGCCAGCATGATTCAAACACAGCCCTGGCCAATCAGCATCTCCTCATAGAGATGAATTTAATCAATGAATCTCTATGGCGAAAGTTCAGTGTCTGCATGCAGAGGGAGGAGACACTGAATGTTTGGGAGCATTTTAGGCAGCCATGACCCAGGAAGGATCTAACAGCTATCTAAGGAGTGGCCAGTGGAGTTATCACTAGGCTGTAATGTAAACACTGCATTTTCTCTGAAAAGACAGTGTTTACAGCAAAAAGCCTGAAGGTAATGATTCTACTCACCAGAACAAATTCAATAAACTGTAGTTGTTCTGGTGACTATAGTGTCCGTTTAAGTGTGAAAAACATATAGTTTTATTATTTATATTTTCAGAATACCAGTGCGACTAAATGAAAAGAGCCCAACATAGATTCACATATCAGTCCTGATTGTGAAATCCCTCATATGCCAAGGATCTAAATTAACTTTTGGTAGCTAACACTAACTCTGCATTAACCCCACCTAATGCTATACCAACCATACCCCTGCTTAATAACATTGCTCTTTATTTTGCAGAAATGGGGCACTAAGTAAACAAATCACAAAACCTATTTAGAAAGTAGTAAAGCACCTTACATTCTTCTCTGTCATTGTAATGTAAGATTGCTTTTATGCTATTGTACCAGGCCCCTAACTATCCAGCCTTTGACAGGACAGTCCTGAATTTGAGGTGCTGTCCTGCTTAAGTTTCCTAGTGTCCAACATCTGGGAAAAACCTGGGAAATGTCCTCGGGCACCAAAGTGCGAGCATATCATTAGCGGACACTTAAACCATGCATGGAGTGCTTTTTTGCTTTGCAGACGTTATTGGGAAACAACGTAGCAAACAGGCAACTTTGAGAGCATCTCTCATGTAGAAAAACTAAGCCAAGAGTCTGAGATGACAAACAGAAATACACATTGTTAAAAGAAAGAAATAATAATGGCCAGTTCATCTTTTAGTGGGTCACATTTAGAGTGGTTGGAAATATGGAGAGGTACTGCAATGTAAGACCATTCAGAAACAGCAGACCTACACTTAGTATTGGCGGACATTTATCAAGGCAAACGCAGGTACTATTTGAGAACATAGTGCTAATTAAAGAACAATTGCCATGGAAACCAATAGAATGATCCTCAATGCAGCATTTGGCACCCTGAATAGCACCTGTATTACTTGATAAACCACCCCTAGCATGCCAGTAAGGGAATAATGATACCAAACAAATTTTGAAATGGCTGTTTTTGATAATAATGGCTAACTTTTTGCACACCAACTGTCTTGACCTGTGTTCCCCTGATGCATAATCTATCATTCGTTACTTGATCCCACAAGAGACAGACTTAACCATCACTAATATATGGAATGTATATGGAGCTGAATGTATGGCTGGTACTTACCCTATTATCGGCTTTAAGGTTGAGTTAAGAGCAACTGAAATGTTCAATGGGAAGGAGCAAGAAAAGCTCACATTGAAATAATTTCTGCTTACTATGTTACTTATCTTGGGACTAATGTACAAAGTATTACTGTAAGTAACATTACTATTATTTGCCTGTGGAAATGAAAACAAACAAACAAAAAAAAAACATTTGTTAGAGAAGTCTATCATGCCAGCTTTACAAAATACAAGTTTACGAGTTTTTCACTAAACAATGAGTTGAGATAAGTTGTCGATTTAACTTTAGAATTTAGATGTAAACTAGAGGACAGACTCGGACCATTTGGACCTTCATAAGAGAATCTCATATGCTCCTGACTTTTTTCCCCAATTTTCTCATTTTACCCTAAATTTTGCCAGTCATCTTATAAGTAGCCAGAGCTCACTGTTTACTGAATAGACTTTCAAAAGACTGTTATTACTGAAATAATGTAATGGACAAAGGCATTTATTTAAAACTTTTGGATAAGATTTTCAAGTAAGTACATTTGTTTGATACTTTTAAAATAATTACAATTTTTAAAAAAAGGCTTTTAATATTTATTGATATGTTGATATCTTTTTATACATTGTACAATTTTTGATATATTAGTATTTGGAAAAAAAATAACATTTTAAAAATGGTTCATAAATATTAAAAAAATTTAAATGTTTATCCATAGATTGAGGCCTAGATATGTTCATAATGAATTCACAGTGAATTTCAAAATGTAGGCCACAATCGCATAAATAGAGAGATTTTCTGTTATTATTTATAAAAGTGAGGATATAAAGTAAATTATAAGAGAATTCCAAATTTAGGCCTAAGAAGCCAAACAGAACACATAGTTCACTTGGAGAATATTTCTAGTTATTTTAGCTTGATTTTGAAATGCACATAGAATTCACTTTGAATTCTCACTTTAGTTTTAAATCAAGGCCTAGTATAGTGTTTAAATAAATGCCTAAATAACTAGGGCCTCTAATCCCCCCAAAAAACAGAGCTAGTGTGCCATATGGTAGAGTTATAACAGGTTATTCTAAGACATATCAGCCTGATTTGGATAGATTATAATTTGAAACCTTGAAGAAGAAGCAAAATCTTCTTTAACACAATGCTAAAATGACAAAATTCAATACACAATTGACATGTAGAATCTTTATATTTCTATTTTTGACCTACGTTTTGAAATTCACTTTGAACTCAGTGTGAATGCACTAGTTTCACTTTAGTGAATAAACCTGCATGACTAAGTGGACTAATGTTGAATGAAGAAGATATGTATTATTTATGGGTACATTTGTTTTTGATATAGATAAGCTGATCTTATTATCCATGCTGTTTTAAACACATATTTTATTAGTTGTGTACTTACTGTTACTACATTACCACAGGAGCCAGTTTTCAGCGGTGATATAAAAACAACTTGGGAAGTACCATTAATAATCTCATATGTTGCTGAGCAGTTGACATCAGTTGAGTTATTCAAATGTAAATTGGAAGAGTCAAATTGACTAATCTCCAGTTGACATTTAGATATGGATATCTTCATGTTTCCCCCAGTGCACTGAAGGATTGGTGCTGGTGGAGTCACTAAAAAATATTTGAAGGGTTAAAGTCAAGATCTGTAATTTTTCTTTCCCAAAACAAGAAGTAGGTGGTTTTCACAACAGTTTGATCATTTAAAACATTATTTGCGTAGTTATATCAGATTGTTTTTGTTCTGTTGGTTTAAAACCATAAGCACTTTTTATCCAATCATTGCTGAGAGTGAGTCATAGTAGCAGTGACTTGTAAAAATCACTGCCAATATAAAACAGCCCTCCGGGGTTGTCAATAAGGCAGCCTGGAAAATTCTTTCAGGTTGCCAGTGTTAAATGTGTCCCCATTATGTATACAGCGCTCTCACATACAATAGGAGAGACAGCTGAGCCACGGATTGCGTATGTATGGTCTTGTGGTTCAGTGTATGCTAAAACACAGCCCATGTTCACTATACAGTGAGTTAGGCTGTGTATTAATTAATTTCAGATTTTCATCTTCTAGTATATGAATCAAAACTAAATGTCCAACTAATTGTTATCATGAATACTTTAATGGTTTAATGGCCATCATATGAGATCACAGAATATTGAAATGTACAGTATTCACTGGTCTACTTTACCTGATGAGTTGTATTTTGATGCATTACAGTTGCAGGTAGTATTTGTGCTGTCCGCTATTTCATCACTGGCACAGGTTGCATTTGCAGAAGAAACTGTATAGAGAGAAAGATGAATAGAGAGCTCACCTTTTCATGCACTATTTAATTAACCTTGTCTGAACTTTATTTTATTCCATGTCCATGTAGTATGTGTCACTAAGGTTAAACTGAGACAGACTGCAGAACAAACCGCAGAATAGTCCTCTCTACCACATCCCAAATTTCAGTAAACAATAAAGCTTTACTGTGGAACCAGGCCCAATACTATGGTGAAAGGAAGGAACTGCTACTATAGTTTTCAAATCTATTCCATAACCCCGCCATAGTTACATACACTATGGGATGCAAATCCCCTTGTCTATCCTTTCTGCCATATGGGGAAATAAATAAAAAAAATAAAAAAACGATTTTTGATGCATTCTAAATGCTTTTTTAGGTAATAAAATAACATCAGCACATTATCAAAAATTACATAAAATGTTGCAGAAAAACCCAGTTGCCATACGTCCTCACCTCTAATTCAAAATTGCTCCTCTTTCATAAATTGAGATGTATATAGGTGTGTTTTTAGCAATCTACCAATGACCAAGGTAGCCAGGTATAGCAATTTTATTCTGCATCTGCACCCAGATTGAATACTTTAGTATTTTACTAGAAATACACGTGGTACTAATGACCATTTTGCTGCACTCTGTAGCCAGAAATTTAATACCGCAACTTTACTGAAATTAATTGCTGTTTCAGGATCACTTATTTCACTAACATTAGGTTTCTACAAATGACAACAATATATAGAAAACATTTATATTTGACATTTTTATTCAGCACAGTTTAGTCTAGACAGCAGTGGAATACGTGTTCATAAAGGGTGTGCAAGACTTGCCTACGCACCCCATAATGCAGCTCTAGTTTGTCCTCCCTATCTTCATTTAGATTTCCATTGGCAATTTTTCTCATGAAATTGGATTAGCTTGCTATATTTTTGAAGAATAAATCATGAGTACCTATGTAAACAACTGGTTATTAGAGCAAAACTTTTTTTACTTAATTGTTTTCATTAGCATTTTTAAATGCAGGTTGTATGGTTATTTTCTCTTTTTGCTCCTCCTAATAAAGTGTACTGTGCATGCCTATGAGTAGCAGATATGTTCTACTATAGGTTTTTTTATGTTTGATCACCAATATAATGCAAGAATGGTCACTGTATCTTACCTAAAGCCACTCCAAATAGAGCTAAAAGCAGCCAAAGAAATGTCTTCATGGTCACACAGGCACAGATCCTAAGAAAAGAAAGGGCATTGTATGTTAATATTAATATAAAAGCAAAAAATATATATTTTCTTTACCTGGTAAATCAATATTTAATATATTATAAATAGTATGACAGATATATAATGGCCCTAACATCAAAGCCAGATCAGGGCACATGTTTTCCAGTCTGCCTGAGATTCATGGGTGTTTTATACTTTAAGCCACTTTTATTTTAATTGAACCTGCATCTGATAAGGATATGAGAGGAGAGTAGCTGAGGAGACAGAAACATTGTATCTCAATCTTCCCAAGCTCTTCATTCAGTACATCACTGGAAAATGAGTTGATTGTTTGTCGAAAGCTGATTCCCAGGAGTTGGAACTCCCACCAGATAATGTGGGACATATATGTCCCAGTGCTATATTAAATATAAAGGGTACCTGACTCTAATTCTAATTCTAGCCCTAACACAAACCATTGCCTAAATTCAGACACTAGCCCTTACTTTATCCCTAGTCGTAACCCTCTAACACCAATGTAATATACATGTTACATAATGCTGAAGAGAGCATTAAGAGAAAATAACGCAATTTGGGGAATCGTTTGGTTGCACTACTTTCCCATAATAAACTATTTCCCATAATGTTCATAATATTTAATATGGTGCACCAAGTAACAATATGTAACACAAGACCACTAAAATGTTATCATTTCAAAATTAAAATGTATCTCTATGTCTGTCTTCTTTTTAAATTGTCATTTAACACATTTCCTAAGTTAGTCATAGAAACATAGAATGTGACGGCAGATAAGAACCATTCGGCCCATCTAGTCTGCCCAATTTTCTAAATACTTTCATTAATCCCTAGTCTTATCTTATAGTTAGGATAGCCTTATGCCTATCCAACGCATGCTTAAACTCCTTTACTGTGTTAACCTCTACCACTTCAGCTGGAAGGCTATTCCATGCATCCACTACCCTCTCAGTAAAGTAATACTTCCTGATATTTTTAAGATATATTATTTCATAGATATTGAAGTTTCTTCAAAGTAAATAAATGTTACAATTACAATTCTACAAGTCACAATTCTAGTGTCCATGCAAAACATTAACAGTAATGTCCATATTATCACTAGAAATGATTGCCATCTCCTGTCTCCTTGATTTTCTTACCTTGCAGAGTACTGATCAGAATATGAAACTGGTTGATGATGCTTGGTATGATGCTATGAGCTCTTTATATAGACAGGTCATAGAGGATTCTTTCAGGTAATTTAGAGGGTGTGGTAGAATGACGCTGATAGAACGTTTTCTTGGTTGTAATTATTTAGCCTCTAGATAAAAAGGAGTAAATGTTTCAAGAATTATGTAGGTTTAAATGTTAAAGTGCACCTGTCATGAAAAAAAATGATGTGCATGACGAGTATTGCACTTACTGTCTGCTTTGTCCATTTTTTGTTCTCTCCAATATAAAAATGTTTTATTTTATAATTTGCTTAGTATATCCAGCAAAATGTATTTGTATATGTTTATAAATTAAAAAAAACAAACAAACAAACAAAAAAAACAATTGCCATTTTTCTATAGAGGTTTTTTTTTTTATTATTATTTATTTTTTGTAGGGGTTTTGAAGATCCTGTGAGGCACTATTAAAATGTATTTTTCTTTCCTTAAAAGGGATTCTATAGTGTAAGGAATACTATAGAGTCCTCTGGCCACAACATCCCTCCCAACCCTTTTCTCCCTCACAAAACAGGTTAACAAAAAAAAAGCCCCCACATTTATTTAGTCACCTGATTCCAGTTCTGATGTCTGCTGGCATTGGGTCAGCTCTCCACCTCCTTCGATGTCATCCAACGGGGGAAACTAAAGCGAATGCGCGTTAAGTGCCACAAGCGTATAATGCCCAAAGGAAAGCATTGCAGAGCATGAGGACGTCTAGCGTCATTTAGGCAATCCGAAGTCCAGTAAGTTCTGGAAACTCCTCTTGTGGCTGTCTTAGTACTGCAATGTTTAACGTTGCAAGACTAAGTGGGGCAGAGACACTGCACTAAGACCACTTCAATGAGATAAAGGTGCCTATAGCTTCCCTTTAATATACTTAATACATTTATGGGCATAGCACTTTTCTCCACATAACCTTAAACCTTTTGAAGTACATGATGTTTTCCATCCTTTAGGTTCAAGTATAAAAATGTGGAGTTTAGGAAGTTTAGCCTTCTAAATGTAACTGGATGCAGTCATGTTGCCATGGATGATTATGTGTCTAAATCCTGACTGGAGATAGTTTTTATGCTGCCATGAAAGATGTACCCTTGTGCAGTTTAACTGTATCCAGAGGTCTGCCATGCTGAATAAATAAGAATCCAGCACAAATGCTAGAATGAGTTCACATTTAATTTATACCAAAGGCACAGTAAATGAGAGCTTTCATTACACGTGGGCCATTGTTAAGCTTAGTAAACAGAGTAATAGTGATACATTTAAAAAAAACATTTCTTTTTAACAAATAAGCAGGTACAATACATTCTAAGGTGCATTTTTTTTTTTTTAAACAGTCTGAAAGACAAAAAAGGAAATATGGAAGAGAAATGGAGCCAAAAGAGCATTACAGACCTCCTTTTTGGGGTTAACCCCGATGTGGATTTAACAAAAGAAGAAAAAATGAAAAAAATTAATGGCTTTACATAATAGATAATCCAAAATTAAAACCAAATAATTTTAATTGATACTTTAAAAAAAAAAAAAAATCCTGATAGGATAATGAACAAGACACACTGCATACTCTATATAGACTGACTATATGAAACCTTCAAAAAGACACTCGTTCAAATAAAATATAAATAAAATAATAAGAGTAATATATACACAGGTTGAGCAACTCTTTTGTAAACTATAGTATATATGTAGCTAGGTAATTATAGTTTGCTCAGTTATGTGTGTGTATATATATATATATATATATATATATATATATATATATATATATATATATTACACACACACACACACACATATATATACACATACACACACACAGATAAATACCTATATTAAGCTTTCAATAAAATAATATCTAAATCACTAATTGAATATATTAATCCAAAGGATATGAGATAGATATATATATTTATTGAGGTCACCCATGGTAAAGGCTTCACCGACAGATATAGGTTACAGTGGTATAAATAGGAGGGAGGTAAAATTTAGGTATCTTAACTACCCACCCTCTTCTAAAATCCCAGATGTTAAGATTAATTTGGTCTTTATAGAAAGATCACACATCCCGCATCCCAGGACACTGAAAAATCAGAGATACTTGTGGTCAAATAATGAAATTATGTGCACAAATTTTCAGAGAGAATGGTATATATGTTGGTCAATATCAGGACTGGGTTGCTAAAAAATTGGCTACTTTGGTACTATACTCGCTTTAAAAGTCAAAGTTAACTCACTCACTGCTGTAACTGTTTGTCAGAGAGTCACAGATTGTAAAGATATAGTGCAGATAACTGCTTTTATAAGTAGGCACTAAGCAATGGAAAGGTAGTTACCCCAGCTCTGCAATCTTTTAGTTAATCTGCTTTAAACTCACTTACTGCTGTAGCTCTCGTTTGTCAAAGAGTTGCAGGTTACTAAGGTAAAATACAAAATAGACTTTTTATAAGTCTGCATTAGTTGAGCGTAAGGAGTTTTTAATATCTAAGCTTGTAAACCCTGGTTTTATTTGCAGTGTAGATTACTAATCTATCTAATTCCTGTAAAAATTGGTGAATTAGATTATGAAGATTTTTTTTAGTTCTAAACAAGTATCCTCAATAGGTCTGAGACATTAGTCCGATAATGCAGTATACTGTAATGTCTTAACTGGTAGCTTGGTTCTTTGAATTGCTCAATTTCAGTGAGAGTTCTTCCAAGTGCCCTGATTGTCTGTAATTGCAATTCTAAGGTGCATTAATATTGGATAAACGTCCCATAGTCACCCTAGATGCCCAGTTTCTTTTGCTGTCGGATGGTTCTTTTCTAAGGTGGCTAAATATCAGTTAGATACCCAGTTGCTTGGGCTGTCTTTTGGTATTTATCTAAGGTAACGGAAAGTCAGTTAGCTACCCCTAATCACCCTAACGCGCTTTCGCCGATTAGTTCTTCAGAGATTAGCCGGGAAGTTGAATTTTCCCGGTTTAAATAGGAGAATTAATTAGGCTGAATTAATGGAGACTTATAAGAGCACTTTTTTGTATTTTACCTTTGTAACTTGTAACTCTGACAAACGAGAGCTACAGCAGTGAGTGAGTTAAAGCAAATTGACTAAGATTGCAGCGCTGGGTTAATTTACCTTTCCACCGTTTAGTACCAATTTATAAAAGCAGTTATCTGCACTAAATCTTTACAATCTGTGACTCTGACAAACAACAGTTCCATCAGTGAGTTAACTTTGACTTTCAAAGCGAGTATAGCACCAAAGTAGCCAATTTTTGTTCTTCGCAACCCAGTCCTGATATTGACCAACATATGTACCATTCTCTCTGAGAAATTGTGCACATAATTTAATTATTTGATCAAAAACCAGTATCTCTCTGATTTTCAGTGTCCTGTGATGGGGGATGTGTGATCTTTTTATAAAGACCAATTAATCTTAAAATTTGGGATTTTAGAAGAGGGTGGGTAGTTAAGATACCTAAATTTACCTCCCTCCTATTTATACCACTGTAACCTATATCTGTGGTGAAGCGTTTACCATGGGTGAGTTCAATAACCCCTAATTATATATATATATATAGATATATAGATATATAGATATATATATATCCTTTGGATTAAAATATTCAATTGGTGATATAGATATTATATTAGTGAAAGCTTAATATAGCTATTTATCTGTTCACGAGCGCACACACACATAACTGAGCAAACTATAATTACCTAACTACATATATACTATAGCTGACAAGAGTTGCTCAACCTGTATATATTATTATTATTATTTGTGTTTATATTTTATTTGCACGAGTGTCTTTTTTTTTAGGTTTCACATAGTCAGTCTATATAGAATGTGCAGTGTGTCTTATTCATTATCCTATCAGGATTTTTTTTTTTTTTAAAGTATCAATTAAAATTATCTGGATTTAATTTTGGATTATCTTTTGTTACCCCCTCCATTTTTTTTTTTTCTTTTGCTATATTTTTTTTTTAAAGAAACATAAAAAAAAAAGAGGGGGGAAAGTGCACATTTTCACAAAATATAATTGTTTAATTTACTTGTAATGTATATTTCATATTGAAGAGAGTGGATATCCCACACTATAAAATCATAAAACCAAAACTATTTGAATAATTATATGAATACTCATTATTAAAATAGATACAATGTGCTAGTAAAGCATTTTGTTCTATTTTCATTAAAATCTAAGCTGTCAGCTTCTCATTCCTAGAGTTGATGGCAAATGGTGAATTACTGCATACTAACACTAGGTGCCTCATAGTTACACAAATCTAGATATATATGAACAGCAATTCTGACTGATATCACCAAGGTTGAAAAATTGTTGAGGTTACTCAATAAGGTCTGAACTTTTCATACAAAAGGACTGAATATGAAGCCGAATGAACAATTCTCATATTTACTAAATGTAAATCTGAACAAAATCTGGTAATTTAGACTGAATGAGCATCTTTCATTTGCAATCATACATTGTCTCCTTTACACTCATTAATTTGCATATGGAATGCAGCCTTTGATCCCAGCTCCATCCCATCATGCTCTGCCTGGACTGGTATGGAGCGCTGTTTATCTGCTGGAGTCCCAGACTCCCGGCTTAGTGCATTTTTCCTTTGCCTGGTTTCCTCCCCAGTGGTATCGTCCGCTTGGCCTTGAGTGGCCACCTCTCCATGTCAGCAATGCTTTCCTCTGGGCTGTCATAGAGAGGTCCTCCCTTGGTGGTGTCCAGAGACAGTCATGGACTCTCGCTGGGTAATGACAGCCCCAGTCCGTGTCCCGCCTTTAATTCCATGACTGTGTTCCCAGAATCTGGCAGCTGTTCTAGGTAGTCAGTGCGCCCAGGCCTTGTAGCAGTACCAGGTGTCTCTGAAATATTTAATTCTGCTATGCCAATGTCACCTACTTTGTCACTTTTCCCTTGGTCTGGCTTAGCTGTGGATGTGCCCATCTTATCATCACAGCTTGGTTTTGTAACTGTCGCTCTCTCTTGGCTTAGATCAGAAGCGGCTACTTTGCCTTTCTTATTTTGACTCTACTTCTCTGCCTTGCTTTTCTCTGCCCAACTGTTCAATAGCCGGTCGACATTCTTGGGTAGCCTCGGCTACTAAACAGTGCACCGCATGGTTATCCTCAACTGGGGTGCTTTGCTTCTCTCCATTTTGCTCAGCTTCTCTGCTGTTGTCTTCTGACTCCCCAAGTCAGTCTGCTTTTAATGCCTTTGACTTGTTCACTTGGGTGTACATCTGGGGCTTCTGCTTCATTTTTCTTTCCCTGGCTGTATTCACTAGCTTTACTTGCACCTTCTGGGTGGTTTTTACTTACCACCAACACTCGGCCTTGCATACATTTTTTTTTTCTCATCTTTGAAATTTTCTTTAGGATGTTTCTGCATGCTTTAGTCTTATCACCTTTACACTGTGTGTTTTCACTTGTCTCATTCTTTATAGCACAAACCGACTTGACACTGCTGGCCTCAGTCAGTCATTATTTCTCCTTTTTTTGCCTTGAGAAGATTTATCAGTATCTTTCTGTTTTCTAATGTCTTTCCAGCATTCTCTTGAAACATGCAAGATTCAGTTTGAGCGTGAGACTATTTTTGTTTTCAACTCTTTTTCTAAGACCTCTTTATCTGTTGTGATGCCACTCAGAGCAAGTTTGAGGCTTTCACGTGAAGCTGCAATATTTTGATTCTCAAACACTTGTCAACTTCACTAATCAGTTTATTTCGCTCTCCCTTCTGATTCTTCTGACCTTTTTTACTTTGGTGCACGTCATCAGTGTCACCATCACTGTCTCTTGACAATTCCGCTTTTTTTTTTTAGTTTTGCAGGTCTCTATACTAACTTTTTTTCCTTTTTGGTCCTTGGAGGATACAGCTGGCTGTTCACCCTCTTCCACATTATCACTACTTTCAGGCTCAATCTTATCCTTCTTGCCTTCTAATTCCTGTTCTCTCTCTTCTGCGTGTTTCTCAACATCATGCTTTGCTGCCCCCATGCTTTTCAGCTTGCTAAAGACTTCTTCAACTGCCTCTGTCATCTTTTGCAGGATGTCAGTAGCTTGGTTATGGGGTCCCTTGACCACACGCTCCATGCAGGGGGCAATCCTCAGTAAGGGCAGCTCTATGCTTCTGCTGAGCTTCCCTCAGGTTCTTAACCTGTGCAGCCAGGAAATGGTTGGTGTCTTGTTGTATAGCGGTTGCCTCTTGTTGTACAGCGGTTGCCCATACCAGAGCATGAGAAGCATAAGTCCTTCGGTGACGCCAGGTCGGACGGAGCGCGATAACCATCGTGCCTCAACTTATACTGTGACGAGTGGTAATATCCTAATCAGTCGACCCCTATGAGCTGTGTCTCCCCTGGGAGACGGGTTGATCTTCTGTGAAGAAGACTGGGATAGAAGGAGCCTACATGTTGTCTGATAAACGTGAGTTGGTCCATCTCGGTGGATGTAAAACCTGACCGCCTAATATGTGGTTACCTGCAGTAGGGTGCAGCCGATCTAGTACTTCTTTATCAATCCATGTATTGTGAAATATAGGACCAAGAAGTCTAGGTATACAATGTACAGGGTCGCGGTGGTGCCGCGGAGAGTCGTGTGAATTTTCCCAAGTTGTGGAATAGTCTATGAATCTTCTGAGCCAATAGTCTTCTACAAGTCTGGAGGTTCCAGACGGTTCTCGGATGAACGTGGATGTTGAGTTTTCAGTTCCCTGGAGTGATCTGACTGAGGTTCTCCCAGAAGAGTGTCTCCTCTTCCCTGCCTCTATATATATATATATATATATATATATAATATCTCTCTCTATCTCTATCTTCTTTCGTTAGTTTGTCAGGGCCCTCCAGGCTCCGAGCTACTGGATCGGGAAAGAGAGGATATCCCCTGAAAACTGGATAAGGTGGTCGAGCGGGAAGGAAGAAGACCGTCCTGATGTGTCTTTAGGTCCTGAACGCAAGTCTGTTGACTAAGTCAAATTCGTCTTCCCCCAGGATTGAGTGCCTTTCACCTAGATGTGGTGAAATCCCCTGTGGATGTAGTAGGAGGTATATTTGATGGTATCTGTGGGTACAGTGTTCTCTGTCCGCTTATCTGGAGCACCATTGGTTGACTCTCGCTCTATATGGATAATAGAGCTAGTTCTATTACCCATACAACGAGAGTCAACCAACGGTAGCGGATCTCGGGTCAGATGTCCCAAAGTGGTCGACGACTGGCTCTGTTGCCAACCGGTTCCATAGAATCCCTTGTAGGGATTTGGGCCCTTATGAAAGCCACGGGACCCTTGCGTGTCTAAGTTCCCTTTGGAACTTTGTGCCTTGTGCCTGGGGTTCAGACTATCTTGGCACTCAGTACTGCCAACTATCCGTCAGTGCGGAGGAGTGCTGCTATGGGCATCCTATGGGAGAGGCCAACACTGGGGTTTCCTGCGAGGAGCAGAAACAGTTTTTTGAGTCCATATACCCAAGTTGTATGCCCGTTCCCGGACGATGTTTGGTGGCATCCAGCATCGCCCATGGTAAGGTCGTGAAACCGTTGGTCACTATAGTCGTCTGAGCCGTTTTGACCATCATGGAAGGGCATGGGTTTGTCCGACCGTCAGCGAATATCGACATTCTAAGCAAGAGTCTGCAAAGCCACGAGTGCATAATGTTGTCAAGTAGGTTTATCGTATTAAGGGATACCCCTATGTAAGGCACAAACCAGTATTCAGGCACAGGATGCAGGGCAAACAGATCAGTCTACCATGACAGTAGGCAGTGTCCACTGAAACCCTTGCGGGTCTTACTCTGAATCGTGGCCAAATAAAACAGACTGGGGCTCACCCAGTACATAGAGGTTGCCATAGAATTGCCTCTGCTCATCAGCACCATGCAGCGCACGTATAGTGGGGGCTCACCCCGGGTGCACAGGTTATGAACCCTTAGGTGCTGGCCATTGCCCTGATAGTGTCAGTCACCTCTTCCATTATTAAATTCAACTCAAGGGGAATATATATTGTTAAGTAGGCGGCTCGGAACTCCTGTTCAGCGGTTGTAACCGCATGCCTCTGTTCGGCATTTTAGTGCAGTGCACGCCTAGCCAGGACTTGTGCATAGGGTGTGGGCCTTTAACTGCAGGCCATAGAATAGGTACAGGGCATAAACGCGCACCGTATCATGATTCATTATCAATGGAGGTATTCCTTCAGTTGTAGGTAGAGGTGGTTTCCGTAAGACTTCCTTCGGTCGGGTAGTGTGACTCCCCCATCGTAGGGGTCTCAACCCAAGAGCACCATGTCTGAACCTGTAAGCGCCGGTCTCAGATCCAAAGTTCGGGTTTTCAACCTTTTGAGCTTGCTGTTGAGGGGGTAGGAGTAGTAGCAGCAGTGCTGTAGGGGGCTCACCCCAGTTGCACAGGGTATGAACCCATCAGTGCTGGCCATCAGCCTGATGTAGAGTGTCCTACAACTCTTCCAATAATTAATGCAACGCCATGGGGGATATTCTGGGCTGAAGCTTGTGACTCTGTCCCCTTTTTAGCCGAATAAATTGTCTTGTACCTAGTCAGAGATCATCTCAGGTGCGCGGGGTATGTACCAGTCAAGCGTGGGTCGCAGCCAAATAAAACAGACTGGATGAGAGCACAATCCATTTCATTGTGTGCAATGCACCATGCAGACCCCAGCAGCGTGTAGTAATGTGCAATTTATTGTCCCAATGTACGAAAACAAGCCCAGCAGGGTGTGCAATATGGGGTACCTCAGTAGGGTATCTGTTGTAGTGTAAATAATGCTAGTGGACCCCAGCAGGGTCTGTATAAATAACAGTAAGGTGTAATAACCTCGGCAGGGTATTCTGTATCTGTCACTTAGTGTTGTCAAATTGTCCCACCACGGCAAGCCACAATATTGGGATTTGTATACCTGGGCCTCACCCAGGATCACAGAAGTGGCCACAGGGCGACTTCCAAAAAGCAGCACCTCAGGCAGGCACAGGGTAATAAGCCCTTTAGTGCCTAATATGGCAGTAATGAGACAAAAGTGACTGACCTCTGAGGGATAATAGGATATAGAACTAGCTCTAAGCTCCGTCTGTCGTGTTCTGACAGGTAGTCTAAGGGATAGGAGTCATCCCTTTGATCATCCATTACCAGACCTAGTCTTCCTGAACCCTGATCCAGGTGATATCCCTTCAAATCTCCCATCACAGATATGTACTTATATAGTACCATCTTGATGGTTTGTATCCAAAAGGTGCTATCCCTTTAAGGAATTCAAGAGTGATATCCCTTTAAGGATTTGGTATCCCTTTTAAGTAGTTTCATGGTGGTATTCCTTTAAGGAGTTACCTCTAAGGGTCCAAGAATGGTATATTTAAGGAATTTGAGGGTGCTATCCCTTTAACACCTCAAGGACACATGAGATGTCATGATTCCCTTTTATTCTAGAAGTTTGGTCCTTAAGAGGTTAAGGGATTTTTGGAGGTGATATTCCTTAAGGTTCCAGCACCTCGAACCACTATACATGAGTACAACTCAAATCTGTAAATAATAGTCCAGTTAGCTTACTATTGCCTGGGTCTAATGTCCGTGTCAGAGCATCGTGAGCCACGAGAGAAGCAAAACGGCCGCCCATAATCTTGCAAGACGCGAGATTAAGGATGGCCGCCGAGAGTAAAGGAGGGGGAACACGGTCCCTGGAGTCTCGGTAGACGCGGGATCAAAGATGGCCACCGCGTCATCCTTGGGCTACCTCATGGTCACCCCACAGACTGCCCTGCACTAAGGTAGTGGATGTTGGAAAGTATCCAGCACATTACCGGGTGTACGGTATGGGGCAGCCTGAGCGAGTGAGTGCAGTGAGTCCGGCCGTCCCCCTGAGGGTTGTAGGAGGAAGGGGTCGAACGGATAGGCCGGAAGAAGGGGTTAATGCCCTGGAGCCAGCTGGAGCCGATGGGAACCGCGGGAGGCAAGGGGTTAAGCCCCAGCCAGACCCAGAATCCCCATGAGACCCTGGAGAGAAGGAGGAAAGTGGGGAGAGAGGGACCACAGATGCCCCAGGTATAGAAGGCCAGAAAAGTCATGATACATATGGTATAAAGTACATCTACCATAACTATACATAAAACCTATTAGGTGTAAATTTTATTATTGACTTAACACCTATTAAATCCATGTCATAAAATACATATGACTTCTATTAAATACAAAACAAAGGATGAAATGCCTATAAAACTGATAAATTACAAGTGATATTAATCACAACCAAAGGTTATGAAATAAGGATAACGTTAAATCTACATAATATCTGTGAAATAACAGAAACACAGAAGCACAGCAAGAACATACAGCAAAGTATATAAAAAATATAATACAGAAACAACCTCAAAGAGGCACTGTAAACATAGTAATGGAGAAGTGTAATACTCTGACCTGTCTGCTTGATGGAGCAGTAAAAAAAAGAGGAAATGATGAGGTCACATTGCCTTATGTACATCCTGCTCTCCTATGATTGGTTCTTTTTTTTCTATGTGTTTCTTTACTGCTGTATGGAATTAGTAAAGGGAGATATCCAAAATACGAAGCCTTCTGTCATGTGGTAAAATTGACATTGCTTTGGGATTTGGAAATCGTTGTCTAGTTTGTCTATAACAGTTTCCAAATCCTTCTCATGTGTTGTTATGCATAATTTTTTATTGTTTAATGTGTAAATTGCTTGTGCATTCTTTGCACTTATCTACTTTAAATTTAATCTGCCTTTTGAATGCACAGCATCACAATTGATCTAAATCGCTCTACAACAAAGTTTTAAACTGCTTATATTATATTACTTTACAGAGTTGTCATCTGCAAGCACTAAAACATGATTTCCAATGCCTACTTCAAGATCATTTATAATTGTTAGAGAATAGAAGCAGTTCCAGAACAGAACCCTGAGGGGCAGCACTTGCTACTTTTGTCCAGCTTAATAAAATACCATAGATTACAACAATCTGTGCTCTATTTTTAAATCAATGTTCTGTCCAAGAACAATCATGTTCATCTAGACCAATTTCTTTTAGTTTGAACACTAACCTATTATGAGGAACCGTATCATATACCTTGGCAAAATCCAAATAGATCAAATCCACTGCAACACCCTAAACTATGCTTCTACCTACTTTTTCATAGTATGCAGTTAAGTTAGCTTGACATGACCTGTGGTTCATAAACCTATGGTGACTATTGCTGATAGCAATGATCTTCCCAAAGAATTCCTGAATATTATCTCTTAATAACCCTTCAAATACTTTCCCAGACACAGAAATTAAGCTCACAGGTCTATCATTTCCATGCAAAGATTTTGACCCCTTTTTGAATATAGCAACAACATCTGCTTTACTTTAATCCTACAGTAAAATTCCTGAAAGAAAAGATTCTTGAAAGTTTAAAAACTCTGCTACTGTACTTTAATTATTCAGTTGGGACTGAGGGAGATTTAGCTATCAAATATTTACAACTCCGCATACAATCTCTTTGCTTGTAATTGTATTTATTAGCAACGATTATAAAACCAGTGATCTAATTGGCATGTATCCAATAAAGCCTTCTGAGACACAGGATACATTTGTGTTAACTCAATAAGCTGCTACTAATTTGTTATTTAATATCACCATCTTCCCAATTAGATTGAATCAAACACTTGCTATTTATGTCTATTTCATACCAGATTTCTTTCTATTTATTGGAAAGTATTATCTTTTTGTATATTTATCTACAAGGGTTAAGCCGAAGTTAGTGCTGGTACTACCTGAATTTACACACCACTGTGGTTAATTGGTGTGAGTCTGTTTTATTTATATATATATATATATATATATATATATATATATATATATTTTTATAATATACACACACGCGCACAAAGTCTGAGTGATCTAATACTATCACGTATTCTAGTTTAGCCAATCTAATCACCTTTTGCATTTATTCAGAAATCTACCCATAAAGCTTCCAAATTGTCCTCATCAGATTCCACTTGCTTTCAGTGGTGTCTCTAGGATTCATTTTTAGGGGGGGCACATGGTGGGCCAGGGAAAAAAGTAGGGGGGCACATTTGACCCCGCCCCTGCTGCATGTTAAGCCCTGCCCCCGACACAATGTGTTGTTGTTTTTTTTTTAATAATCCCTGGTGGAGGATTAATTATTTTCCACCAGGGATTATTAAAAAAAACAAACACAATTCCCTTGATACAGTGCCATAGTTGCCAACATTTGGAAAAAATTTCCAAGGACATTTTGCAGCACAGCTATCAATTACTGTCTGTGTATAATATCCCTGGACAGTCAGTGCTCTCTGTATAATACAGGGTTGTGTGTGTGTATAATAAATTGGGACAGTCAGTGCTCCCTGTATAGTGTTGCTCTCTGTATAATACAGAGCTGTGTGTATAATATCCTGGGACAGTCAGTGCTCACTGTATAGTGCTGCTCCCTGTATAATACAGGTCGGTTTGTGTATAATATCCCAAGACAGAGAGCAGCACTATACAGGGAACACTGACTGTCCCAGGATATTATACAGACACAGACCTGCATTATACAAAGAGCAGCACTATACAGGAAGAACTGACTATGCCGGGATATTATACACAAACAGATCTGTACTATACAGAGAACAGCACTATAGTATTATACAGATAGCTGAGCATATACCCCATGTCCCAATCTCTAGACTACTAGTACCTGTCAAAAGCAGCTCCCAGACACGTGTAATAGGGCTAAAGTGTGCGGCAGCTCACACACATGATTCAGCGGTAAAGTGCACTCGCCGGCAGAGCCAAACTGGGAATCCAAAGCAGCCCTGAAAAAAAAAAGTATACCATTCATACAAGTGTGTGTGTGTGTGTGTGTGTGTGTGTGTGTATGTATATATAATTTTGTACAGTAAGCACACAGGCTCACTGACTTGCACAAATAGGCTCATTGACAGACCAAACTCTCTGACACACACATAAGCTTACTACAGACAAACTCACTAGGCTCACTACAAAGACGTTCAGGGACACTAAAGACAAGCTCACTGACACACACATGTAGAGATGTCGCGAACCGTCCGCGAACTTCTCACGAACGGTTCGCCGCAGTTCGTGGCGAACTCCGGTCAGCTGACACATCCATGCCAATCTCTGGCAGACCCTCCCTCCCAGACTCTCCCACCTCCTGGACAGCATCCATGTTGAAGCTGTCTTCAACATGGATGCTGTCCAGGAAGTAGGAGGGTCTGGGAGGGAGGGTCTGCTGGAGATTGGCCGGAATGTGTCAGCTGACCGGAGTTCGCCACTAACCGTTCGCGAGAAGTTTGCGGACGGTTCGCGACATCTCTACACACATGCTCACTAAATAGAAGCTCACTGACACACACAAGCAGTACCATCTTAACAGCGTTAAGGGCCTCCAGGCAAAGCAGTACACTGGGGTCCTTCCTACACAACAACTCACAGGAATACATTTTTTAATTATTGATAGACTGCGGAGTACATACACACAGTACACTGAATACACACACACTCAGCAGTCTCTGTGTGTGTATGGACTCAGCCGTCTACGTGTGTGTATGTATGGACTCAGCAGTCTGTGTGTGTATGGACTCAGCAGTGTATGTATGGACTCAGCAGTCTGTGTGTGTGTATGGACTCAGCAGTGTGTGTGTGTGGACTCAGCAGTCTGTGTGCCTGTGTGTGTGAGTATGGACTCAGCAGTTTGTATGTCTGTGTGCGCGTGTGTGTGTGTATGGACTCAGCAGCATACACAGACACACACAGACTGCTGAGTCCATACACACAGACTGCTGAGTTTATACACACACCGACACACACACACAGACGGACTGCTGAATCCATACACACAAAGACTGCTGAGTCCATACACACACACACACATACAGACTGCTGAGCCCATACATACACACACACACACACAGACTGCTGAATCCATACATACAGACACACAAACCATTAGAAGATGGTAAGTCGACTATAAAATTCATAGACAGTTGTGACCAAGGAACAGATGGCACTGGGAGAGGATGCAGAAGGCCACCCGGAACTTGATTAGAGGGTTTAGACTGTGAACATATATTACAAGATGAGACGTAGGCTTTAACATCCTTTCTGAGGGATGACCACCAGAACTGTCTGGAAATTAATTCAGTAGTTTTAGACACCCCCATGTGTCCAGCCATTTTACTATCATGATAGTCACAAAACACTTCCTCTCTTAGTTTAGGTGGTACGAAATATCTACCTGCAGGTTTATCACTAGGTGCTACCTCTTGAGCATTTTGGATTTTGTGCAAAAGAGGAGATGAGACTCTTGTTCTAGTCACAGCAATAATCCTCTCAGGAGGTGTAAAGGGTTCAGTTACGCCTTTCTCCTTATCAAGAGTGGCAAATTGTCTGGACAGCGAGTCGGCTTTAGTATTACGATTTCCTGATTGATATGAAATCAGATAGTTGAAACGGGAGAGAAAGAGAGCCCAGCATGCCTGTCTAGAAGAAAGCCTTTTAGCATCACTTAGATATAAGTTCTTATGATCAATGAGAATCACAAGGGGTACAGAGGAATCTTCCAGTAAGTGACGCCATTCTTTATGTGCAAGAATTATAGCCAATAATTCTCTCTTATATACATACAAAATAGGTGGAGTGTCTTGGTTCCTGGGTACAAGGTATGGGATAATGGCAGAAGTACAATGGGATAGCTGAAAAGGCAAAAATATTGACAGGCACCTAGTGCAACATCGTACAGTACATACGTAGCTCAGTGTAAATTGTGTGATTCAGTACTCACAAAGAAGGAGTCAGAGAATTATGGCTCAGTCTGGATGCCTGTGCGATAGTTTGGAGGGATCCCACTCCCTTTAGATGTAACAGCTGTAGCTGCGTTCTTTGGTGATCCCAAAAAGGAAAAGTTCTCTATGACCTGTATCGTAATTATTTTCTGCAGGTGTTAATTTATGAGAAAATAATCCGCATGGATGTAACAGAGCCGTAGGAGATGCCCCCTGGGAAAGGATGGTCCTTACACCGGATTCGGAGGCATCTACTTCTAGGATGAATGGTCTAGAGGGATTAGGATGCACCAAGACTGGAGCTAATACAAAAGCTTCCTTTAAACAAACAAAGGAAGTTTTTGCTTCATGAGACCAATTGATATGATTATCTCTTTTTTTGGTCATAGCGGTTATAGGTGCTATGATTTGAGAAAAGTTTTTAATAAACTGTAACGGCTACCCAGTTAGTAAGTGTAGCGTTACTTACCTTAACCGGGGGCCGGTCGCGGTCCTCTCTTCAAGCCGCGCGCGGTCCTGCGGCTGCACGAGCCGCGCGCGGCTCATCCAACTACTTCGGATGGAGGGCGGGCAGTGACCGCGTGAGGCGGTCACGTGTCCCGCCTGAAACTAAGAGCGC